CATAGTACCACAGTTTGGAAGAAAGGAACAGAGCTTAAGTAATCAAAAATATGTGCCTCTTAAAAGAGAGACATCAGTGTACATAGGAGAGCTATAAAATGCTAAATATTTTATAGTAGAGGACCATTAAAGATATATCTTCAATGATCAAGCAAATAATGTTAGAGTATGTGGAAGTGCTCTGAGAGTTAAGAGAGAATGAAAATGTGTAAGCTACATTGGCCATAAAATCAAATTACTGAAGTAAATGCAAAATGAGAAACTTTCACAGAATGTAGAGAAAAAGACAAAAGAAGTCAAGATGAGAAAATCAAAGAAGCAGGGAGACCTAGAAGGCTGGTCTAGGAGATGCAAATCTGTGTAAGAGAAATACCTGACATTGAGACCAAAGCAAATAAAGCTGAAACAATAATCAAAGTAATTGAAGAAAATTTCTGAGTTGAAGAACAAAGTATGCCTACGAGTCGAAAAGGCTCACAGGGAAACTTTAAAATTTAAGAAAAAAACCACCTAGAAATATATTCTGGTGAGTTTTTAAAATTTCAAGGATAAAAAAATTTTTTTACAAGTATCCAGATAGAGAAAGTAGGTTATCTATAAAAGGGCAAAAGTCAGGCTGACCTCAAGATTTTTCTCTTGTAATTCTATATGCCAGAAGACAATGAAATAATACTGTTATCTTCAGAGTTTTAACTATATATCCTGCCAAGTTGTTATTACTGTATGAAAGCAACTGAAGATATTGTCAGATACCCAGGGATTAAGAAAGTATACCAACCAAGAACCTTCTGTACTGAAAAATTTGCTCAATGATTTATAGCAGCCAATAGAGAACATGAATTAAAAATAACTAAAGGCCGGGCGTGGTGGTGCATGCCTGTAAACCCAGAACTTGGGAGGCTGAGGCAGGAGGATCACCACAAGTTCAAGGCCAGCCTGGACTACATAGTGAGTTCAGGAACACCATGAACTACACATAGTGAGATCCTGTTTCAAAAAAACCAACCAACCAACCAAACAAAAAACCCCCTAAAAACCAGGGAGGCAATTGTATGAAAGGTTTGATGGTAAGCATCAAAAGTAACTAAGAACTGTAAAGTCTAATTGTTACATATAGAGAAATAAAACTAAATACAAAAAATAGATTTGTAGGCTAGATCTAAAATTTTCAGTTTATGTAGTTTTAAACTGTCAAAGAGCATACCAAATATTCAATGTATTGGACAAATAAATACTGTTTTATTTTTGCCACATAGTATTATCAAGAAAGGTGCACATTGTTAAGCCAAATATATGTGAAATAAGTGCTTTGTCACTGTGGACAGGACAAGCAAAGACATTCCAAATGTTAATCTGACAAAATTGGAAAATGGTACAGTTTTATTTCCCTTATATTAATTACAGAAGAAAAAAGGTAGCAAATCTGTCCATAATGTTAATAATAATTTAAGAAGAAAATTTCCAAAGCACTGGTTGGAGAGGGGTAGATAAAACCCTGTTTAATATACTGAATTGAGAAAAATGATAGTTCCTATGTTACATAGTAGTTCATATAAATCAATATGCCACTGAGTTGTTATAGACAAAAATAGAATGTATACATTTCAAGATTTTAAAATTGAAAAACCAAGAAAAAGTAGCAAAAGAAAAACAAGGAAGCATTAAAGTTAGCACAAGAGACTGACCAAGGTAGAGGTGTTATATTGGAAAATTAAGAAGATCTAAATGGATTCAAAAAATTAATCTCTGATCCAAGATAGTCATACTTGTACAAAACAAAGGATAAAGGGGTTTTAAGGTAACAAAAACTCTTTAAATCATAGAAATAGCACATTTTTATTAAGCAGAAACAAGGCAATTATATCAGTATTCTTCATATATATTTTCCATATTTTTTTCCAATAGTTTTTGATGAGCAGTAAGTGAAAGTGAACATAAAGTTATAAACCCTATGAAAAGACAAAGGATTTCTTCTGAAAGAAGTACTATTTTAAGGAGGTACTCTGTGATCTGCTCCAAAATAAGTAAGGGACCCTTTCTATTGGATTCATTCCCAGCATCATCAAACTCCCATATTTTTAATAGATAATAGGAATCTTGTTTGTCTCAACTTATTCTTAATTATCTTACTCTTTTGTTCATTAAAGTTATCTTTTATGATGTTCTTGCAAATTCAATAGTCCTTTAAAATTTATCTCCATTAAATGCATTTTTCTACTTTACACACTGGTTATCGCTAATCATTATCACTAATCATTGACTAATCAATGAAAGCTTAGAAAAATTCACATACTACATAATTTGCATATGATTTTAACAGATTCAGATTGATACTAGTCAAAAACTCCCACCATAAAAGATGCCTGAGTTAGAATGAACATAATCTTCTAAGGTACCTATTACATCTCCTGCTACTTACAATAAACTTGCTGATAGCTCTACAGGAACAATTACACATTAAACACTCTTCATATGGGGGGTACTTTGTGTGCGTGTGTGGTACTAGGGCCTTCCCACTGAGCTTTATCTTCAGTCCTTTTATTTTTTATTTTGGGCCAGGGTGTTGCTAAGTTGTCCAGGCTGTGTGGGAACTTGTGATCCTCCTAACTCAGCCTCTCAAAATGCTGGGTGCCAAAACATCTGGGTGGAGCACTTAGTTTTTTAAAACTACCTTTCAGAGGATTAGAAGTGAAGCTCATTGATAGCAAGCACAAGGACCTGGGTTTGATCCCAAGCATGAGGAAAAAAGAAATTATAAAATAGTACAGGATAACTTAAGGATATATATTGACTACTAAGAGTAATACTCTTGGAAGAAACTTTTTCCTACATACATGTACACAGACATTAAAAAGTTACGCTTGGAGGTATATCCTTTTTAGTATCGAGAATTTGGATAACAATCATTCTGAATGGTTTCCTTCATAAAACAACACATTTTATACTTGAGAAAGCAAAAGCCAGTTTCTCTAAATTTCAAACAAATAATGTTAATTTCTAAATATGTTAGTTTCAAAATGCACAAAGGAATCGAATCAACTCAGACTTTTTTAAAAAATATCTTTTTTGTTGCTGTTGTTGCAGGCGCCGGAACCACTGAGCTAAATCCCCGGCCCTCAAACTTGATAAATGTATGGAATCACTCCACTTTTGGAAACCAACTAGGAAAAAGGAAAATCACTCTTACAAATAATTATGTCTTGAAACATATGAAATAAATGGATAGCATCATCTTCTAGTTATATAGCATTTGAAAAGGTGGAAATTCTATTAGAATAATTCTGACGGCCACTTTTCAACTTTTGGAATAATAAGCTGGAAAAGGAGCTTGAAGCTTACGTAGCCCAACCACTACATCATTAAGATAAAGCTCACAGGTTAGTAGCATGAGCCTGTAGTCCCAGCTAGGGAGGCTGAGATGGAGGATCACTTAGACCAGGAGTTTGAGATTAGTCTGGGCAGCATAATGAGGCACTGTTTCAGAAAGTAAAAATAAAAATAGGACTCAGAAATAAGAAGCATAGTGATAGCTTGGTTGTCAAACTCAATTCATTCCAAATTTGTTTGAACATGGTGAAGTTTGAGAAATGAACATATTTTCCCCATAAGGAACAAAAGAAAACAAAATAATTGGTTCTGAGGCCCCAAAATTACACTTATAAATTCATTTTTCTAGCACTTTAACAAATTTTGCAATGATTTCTTTCTTTAACTATCACGGATCTCAATTTTCCTCTTACCTCTACTGCTGGTACCACTAACTTTCTTTGGAGCCATGGTTATGATATTTTACATAAATAAAGTGCAAAATAAAAGCACAATGACGAATGTTTTAATGCACTAATACAGACACTATATGTTGTCTGAACAAGTGTAATACTTAGACCAAAGCGTCACCACTGAGATATCACGCAACAGTTTAGTTGGTTAGTTATATAGTTTAGTTGTCCCTTAGTATACATGAGGACTTGGTTTCAAGAGCCCTCTCAAATACTAAAATCTGTGGATGTTCCAAGTCCCTTGTATAAAATGACATATTATTTGTATATAAACTATGTACATCCTCCCATCTTGGATTTGTAACACCTAAACAATGTAAATAGTACTTATGCTATATTGTTTAGGGACTAATGACCCAAAAAGGTGTGTACATGTTTAGTACTGAAGCTGAATTTTTCCCAAAGCTGGATTTCAACCTGCAGTTAAACCTACAGATGTGAAATGCATAGATATAATGGGCATCCTACTTTGGAATCCTATTCCTCTCTGTACTCCTGGGGTTTTTTTTTGGTACTGGGGATCAAACTTGGGACCTTGTGCTTGCAAAGCAGGCGGTGGAACCAATGTGCTAAAGCCCTGGTCCCTCCTGAGGTTTTTTCAACCCAAAACCGAGAGAGCAGCAAACTATTCTTTGTGGTATTATCTGTACTCAAAGTTCCCTTTAATGTTTTAAAAATCTCTTCCTCCACAGTCAATTTTTAAATGAAATATTGCTTAGAATTGCAATGCAGAAAGGATAAGAAAAGCTAAATTGCTTTTAACAGTGCAGTGCTCCTGCCAGGACTTACTACCTTCTCCCTAAAGCTTCTGAAATATTTTGACAGTATCTTGGGTCTCCAAGGAAGTTTTTATTTTTGCTGTTGAGTGTTCTAGCTTCTTAAAGTATGCTTCTCAAACAATTAACATCACTAGAGGGCCTGTTAGGAATACACAGCTCCAAGCCAGACCTATGAAATGAAGTCATATTAAGATGCGTAGGGGATTTGTTATGCACACTGACATTTGAGAAACTTCTCAAAGAATATCAAGAAAATATATAAATTGCATGTCCCAATTTTTATTAGTCATATGACTTGCAAGTACTAAAGTTATCTTGTCATTCAGTGACAGTTTAGAATTCACATTTTGTGTAGGAATGCTCTAAAACAAACCAAACTTTAAAGGATGTTCCCAATGAAAAAAACAAAACAAAACCCTGGCATACTAATGTAGAAACATACCTCTTATCAAAAAATGTTGAATTCTCTTTCCTCTTAGTAAATCCATTGGGTAGAAGTTTTAAATTAATACCTTGCCTTCGGGCACGATTTTTCATAAAGTACATCTAATAAAATAAAATAGATAAATTAATCTTAAAATGCCTTACAATTCAGAAACGAGTAAAACCAGGTTGAATAATAGTTAATATTTACAGTACTGAGTATGTTTCACAAACTCAAAGCAAAATTTCATTCAATATTTACAAAAATACTGAGACATGTATACTTAGCCATGCCCATTTTAGCAATAAGAGTTAATGAAATTCCAACATTGTACAGCTATTTCTGAAAGAAAGGTCCTGTATTAAAATGCAAGTCTATCAATTCCACAGCCTGTGCTTTTACCTATTTGGTTTATAAGCCAAAGGAAGAATAAACTCAAGGATTAAACTCAAGCCTTGCACATGCTAGTTAAATATACTACGACTGAGCTATTATACGTTCCTAGTCCCAGAAATTTTCCTCTTACATTTGTGGATTTTACACCATAGTTAACTGTATCCCCCTAATTTTATTACTAGACAGATAGCTTACTCAAGGGAGGAACCATAGCATGGCTTGGTACAATACCTAGTTAAAGCAGAGAGTGTTGTGGGCATTACAAAATGGGATATGAAAAACATCTGGCTCTATTATGTACTACTGCACTGACCACCAGGGCTGTTTGAGCTGAACTAATTGAGTCTCAAGAGTTAAAAAGGGATAAACTTGTAGGATACATAAGAGGGAAATTTATATTCTTGAATGTATATATTAAGAAAGCATTATATATTAAGATTAAAGAAGTACAGTATATATTAAGATTCAACAATAACCCAATCATGTATCTTAAGTTTATAAAACTAGTCATATTGATAAAGAAACCTAAGGATATCAAAAAGGAAAGATCAATTCCATTTATGAACAGAAATAGAAAGTGGATGGGTGGATAATGTATACACACATATAATTCAACTCAATTCTGTAAAGTATAAAAAAGCATGACAGATTATAATAGCACCCCATGTAAAATTAGCCTAAAATCAAGATGAATTAAGATTACCCTTAATTATTTTTTTAGAGTATGATAGATTAAAAGGACAAAAGTGAAATAATATTGAAAAAAGTAGCTGATAAAGTATAACTACCATTCATTATAAAATTTATTAACAAACCAGGATTAGAATTTTCTTAATCTAATAAACTAGGTCTACAAAAAAAAAAAATCATGCAAGTTTGCCTTCTAATATCAAGGAACAAGATGAAAATGTACAGAAGAGTTAACATAGCCTGAAACTAAATAATAAACATTTCCATACACTGACATAAACCTTTCCCTAAAATCATAAAATTGTCTCATCACTGTATCTAAATGTTTTGTTTAATCAATGTGGCTTTTGTTGAAACTGGTTTTCATTCCAGACTCTGAAGTTTGTGATCAGTCCCTTGGTCACTGAATTTCCAATGAGCCTTTCTGGTAGAAAACACCTCACCAGTGTTATTGCAACTTATTAACAGCAGAATTAATCATACTATGTGTGACCCCAATGGAAGAGAATTATTAGAAACTTGTGACCTGTTTATTCCAGATTTTGTCTCATACATTTTCCCTTTCCTAATTTTGTTCTACATCTTGTCATGATAATAAATTTTAGCTGCGAGTATAATTGTATGCTGTGAAACTTTCTAGAGAATCTTCAAACCAGAGGTGGCCTTGGGAATTTTCAACACAGGTATCTTCTATTAACACTACTATTTGTATTGAAACAGAAGTCTTTGTTATTTCAATAAGCCAAGAAGAAGAGAAATATAGATTTGGAAGAAACAAACTAGGAATTGTGTGAATCTATAGATAAAGTACTGGGATAGATTTTAATATGATTGGTTACTATAAAATAACAACGTCAAAAAACTCATTTCCATGTAGAAGCAAAGAAAAATAATTAAAAATCAAATGCTGTTTAAAATAGTGTCAAAAGGATGGAGATGTAGCTCAAGGCCCTGAATCTGATCCTCAGGGCCATTAAAAAAAAAAAAGGCAGAAACGTACCTAACAAAAAAACGTGTAAGGCCTCTACCAAGAAAATACCTATAGAAAGATACTAAAGATCTAAATAAATCCAGAATGCAGATACAACATAGTCTAAGTTTAAAGATTCATGTTGTAAAGAAAAACCTCCCAAATTGAGCTGCAAAATAAAGAACCCAATCAAAATTCCCAAGAAGGTCAGAGAGGACTATGGAATTAGACTGATTCTTAGTATCTGTACAGAATGGCAAAAAACAATGAATTGCCACATTCCAGAGAATAAAGTGGAAGGACTTACTCTATCAGATTATGAGTTTTAGTAAAAAATTGAGAGGCTGGGGAAGAGGTTGGTGGTTGGAAAAACATAGGAAGAAAAAACTCTACTACTCTATAGCATAGTAAAGTGAATAAAGTTAACAATAATTTATTGTAGATTTTAATATAGCTAGAAGAAAAGATTTTGAATGGCTCCAACACAAAGAAATAATGTTTGAGATAATGGATACACTAATTATTACCCTGATTTGATCATCATATATACATAATACATGTGCTGAAATACCATACTATACCCCATAAATATGTACAGTTATGTGTCACTTAAACTTTTTAAACTGCATGAAAAGAAATTACAATAATTGAGAGTGCAGTACTGTTGCAAGATGGACAAGCTGATTAACAGGGTGGGCCAAAAACTGACATAAACACACACGGATGATTGATAAATGACAAGGGTCCTTCTGTAGAGCAGTAATGAAAGGATGAACCTTCCAGTAAACAGAGTTAAGAAAAGTGGGTTATCCATATGTAAAGTTAAATGGGAATTCCACAAAAAATCAATTCCAGATAATTTAAAGACAAAAATATGAAACGCAATACTATAAAGCAGTAGTGGCAAACCTATGGCACATGTGCCACAGTGGACTGCTTGTATCATTGAAAGCTCTAAAAGGTGCGCTATTACTGCTATAAAGCTTTCAGGAAACGATATGGAAAAATACCTCCAATAACTTCAAGGCATGAAAGGATTTCTATAAAAACACATAAAACAACTAAAGGAAGCAAATGATAATTTTGACTATATTAAAATTAGGAACATTTGTTCACTAAAAGATCCTATCGACTGCAAAGACAACTATAAAATAGATGGCATTTATAATGTATAATCACCTAAAAAATACAAGAGAATGCAAGCTGACCAATAAGAGGATGGGAAAAAAGACATAAATTTCTGCAAATCCATACTCCATACTTTCATTCTAAAAAATGACCATAAATCTGTGATGTGACTTAATCACAACATTAAAAAATTTTTAGACCACTTGTGAAGTATTTCAAATATTCAAGCTTTAATTTTGAAAAGTGCTGAAGAAATGAAAAAGGGATGCAAGAGTATGAAAATTAAGTGTGTTAGAACAGCAAATCTTGTTAACTCTTCATTTGGAACTGGAACCCAATTACTCCCAATTAATTCTAACAGCATGACTCAAGCCATCATCATTTCTCTCGTGGGTCACACTACAGGGCCTTGTAACTCATCTCCTTGCTTCTAACCTTGCACTCTTAATCCCTGAAGTCCACAGAGCAGGAAGAGTGTTTTTTCAGAAAGCAAACATACTCAAAATCTTCCCATGATTTCTACATTCACTTAGAATATACTGAGAATCCTTACTGGTTTCTCTAACCTCAAGTTTAACATTCTCCTCAGTCAATTTGCTTTAGTCACCTTGCCTGTCCTAATCCCTCAGATATATCATCCTTGTTAGTGACTCAGGATTTAATCTGCTATTGTCTCTACATGGAATAGCCTTCCTCCAAATATTCACTTGTTAGTTTTTTTCCTATTGTTCAGATGGTTGCTTAAATATCATTTCTCAGAGAAGCTTCTCCTGACCACTGTATTGAAAATAAACCTTTGGCAACATTTCCCTGGCAAGCATCATTTTCATTCTTTTTAATCGCCTGAGCCTTATTTTCCATATGCACTTAATTCTATCTAAAATCATATTTCCTCCTCTATACACCTGCTTTCTCCCATTAACCTCTTATCTCTCCCACTATAGTAGAAATCTCCCAGGTTAAGGTTTACCACTATTGTATTCAAAGTAACTAGAATGGCCCCTGATCATGGTTAAGTGAAAAAAAAAGAATCTAATTGATTGGAAGGAAATTCTCATTAGAAGAGATTAGAATACTTACATGTTTATTGCTTATTGGCTTTTTCAAAAGAGCATCTCTAGAAATATAGTCCGCTGTTCTTGCCACATCTTCCAAAAATCGATAATCTAAAAATTTCAGAATAAAAAATAAACAAGTGACATATATCAATTGCCAGGAAGCATTAATCTGCTATGCATAAAATGGCTTACCACTTAGGAGATTCATTTCAGTAAACTGTTGCATTGAAACATAAGCAGTTTTATCTCGAACTCCATTACATGTCAGTTCTGCTTTGTGTTTCTTTACGCAGAGTAAGCTGAAGAAACAAAGAGAAATACATTTCTATTTTGAAGTAAAAAGCATACAGATATAGGTAATAAGGTAGAAAGTTACACATATACCTGCAGGAATATCGCATGCAACGTGGACATCTGTACTTTGCTTCTTCTGTACCACAAGTTTCACATCTATAAAAACCCAGATGCAACATTAAATTATCAAATACTAATTTTATTTATCTATTCATAAACTCGGAATACTGATTCAATTACTTGTCATAATTTAGACATGTGCTCCTAGGGAATAACGTGTAAGCATCTCTGATAAAATACTTGCGAGTTGTCAAACACTGACAATTCTCTATGAAACCATCTCTGAATGACATGAACATTTAGAATGTTGTTAGTGATATGCGATTCAAGAAAAAAAATTATGACTTAAAAAATCACCTCACTTTTGATTTCTACTTGATTATCTGCTGACATTTTTAACTTGTAATTCTTGGCAATCTGGTCTCTCTGTGGTGGTATATAACCAGAAGTCCATTCCTATGCATGTTTTGATATTTTAAAAGCATACACAGCAGAAAAATACGACAGTATAAGACCCACCCAAATTTAAAAAGTGGCGTTAATATCTTTTTTCCTCAACTCCAGACCTAACCTGGATTGGGCATCAAAATAATTTATAAATGGTATTAACCATCATCTGTCCTCAGTTGCTCTCTAGGATCATGGGATACTGACAACCTTTTTACAGCTACTTCTATTTGGCTCACTGTGTTGTACACAGTAATATTCCCAACAACTTGAGCATGATTTCACTAAGGAAATTAAAACAAAAATAATAAACATACTACATATACAGAAGCTCATCAATTAAGTTCAAGTTAATTTTTGCTTAATTATAACTCAATCCACTTTGTCATTGTTGGTGTTATTAGACTGCCTCATCTTTATCGTCTTTCAAATCAATATTGAGTCAAAAGTACATTAATAGCCAGATTTGGTTCCAAAAGGTCTTTTGGTTCCCTGAATGTTTACTTCGTAAGTTGAGCAGTACCCCCGATCATTACCACTTCACATAATTTCACTGAATTTATCTAACAACATCCCCCCTCACCTCTCCCTGCACAATACCACTCAGACTCCTGGGGTTATTTTTCACTATTCCCCTTTCTGCTATTAGTGAGTTCTCAGCAATCTAGACCAAAGAAGATTCCAGAGCTTTATTCCCCTAATCGAATTTCTCCCAACCCTACCTTGACATGGCCAGTTTTCGCTTGCAGCCCACTGGGGGATTTATATGAAGCTCTTCTTTCACCTTTATATCTTCTATTACTTCTTTCTTCAGGAAATGCTCCTCTTCTTTTACACGCACTCCATCCACCATCTCCTCCCGTTTTATAGTCTCATCAACAAACATCTCCTGCTTTATCTCCAAATTATCCTCCTCTTCCTTCACTTCCGGCCAATCCATTACCTCTTCCTTCACCTTCACTTTCTCTTCCTTCATATCTGGTTCATCTACCTTTTCTTCTTTCACTACCAAACTACTATCCATCTCCTGCTTCACTTCCAGTATGCCTGCTTTCTCATCCTTCACCTCAGCCCCATCTTCTACCTCCTGCTTTACCCACTGCGTATTCAACATGCCGCCTTTTACATCCGCCCAGTCCATAATCTCTTGCTTCACAACTGTTAAGTCCATTTGCATCTCCACTGAGCTTTGCCCACTTCCTTCCTCTGCACCCTCTATCCTCTTCATTCCTGTACGTCCATTCCTCTCCTCTCCACCGCCAGCCTCCTCCATTCCTGCAAAGTCCCTGACCTCCACCTCCCTACCAGATTCAGGACTTAGCCGCGCCCCCTCGGGTACCCTCTGGAGATCTCCTCCGGAGGCCACTTCATTTTCAGCAGCAAATGCCATCAGATCACGATCCTTCGCTTACACTCCCACTACGTCCTTTAATGTGGCTGCACCACTGCAACAGGCAGGATCACCAGCCGCAAACCAGCTGCACACGTGCGGACACAAGTCGCGAACCCAAAACGCTTGCCCGGCGAGAGCGCCCGAACTGTCGTAAAGCACCGCTTTGCGGCACGGCGCTTTACGCCTTATAGAGCTCTTTACGGCTCAGCGGCGATCCCGCCCCATCCTCTGACAGAGACTTGTGAGGCCACGCCCACTGCGATCCCGCCTCCAGTCTCCCAGGCGGGATTTCGCGGCCTCCGTACTCTGAGTCGTCCTCTGGCCACACCAGCCTGTGTAAATAGGGCGGGGAGAGTTGAACTCGTAAATCTTGTAATGGGAAGACTCACCCTAGTCTGTATTAACGGATTCAATCTAATCCTGTTTGAAAATGATGGCCACAGTTTCTTCACCTATGCTCTAGGGTGGGTGGTGTTACAAATTCCTAAGTGTTACATTGCGAAGGTTATACGAAACCGTGAAGCCAGCTGTGACTCCCACAAACTCAATACTGTACCTATGGCTGTTATTACTGGGAATCCTGGTAGGTTTCAGGTAGGCACGATTTATTCTTCAACTCTATTTAATCAATAACAGCTTATATAGCCCAGTTTTCAGTTCCTGCCATTCAACACCATTCCTTTTTTGTTCGTTTGCTTTTTGGGTTTTGAGACAGGGTCTCGCAGTGTAGTTCAGGGGGCCTTGAACTCACTACACAGCCCAGGCTGACCTCAAACTCGCGGTGATCCTCCTGCTTCAGCCTCTGGAGTGCTGGGATTACAGGAGTGTGCGCCACCACACGGGGCTCTAAATAATTCTTTACTTTTTTTTTTTTTGGATGTTTGGTTTGTTTTGTGCGATGAAGTCTGGCTTTTGTGGCCTGCATCCCAGCTTTATATATTCTTAAATACTGCCCAGGAATAGATTTAAATGCACCCCCACCCACTGAAGAAAAAACAAAATAAAACAACATATCCAAAAACTGCATTTGTTTCAAGGCCTTTTAAAGTATTAAAAAGTATTTCCACTTTCTGGACACTAGGCACTTTCACCTAATTTTCAGAGACTGAGATACCTATTTTCCTCACTGTGGGCTTTTCAGCTGTAGGCCTCTTTGTGCAGTCCCCTTAGACCCAGTTAGTTTGCAGGGCATTCACACATTGGCAAGGGAATGGAAATTTTGAGTGAGTGAGCAGAAAGGAAGGGGAATAATTTGGGGCCTTTTGTTGTTGAAGTTCTAGGGATCAAACTCAGGGCCTCATGCATGTGAAGTGTGCAGCTGTACCACTGAGTTACATCCCCAACCCTGAGGTAATTTTGAAACCTTAGTTGGGGCAGTACTGATGGAGTAGCACTGGAAGGAGAATGAAAGTAAGTTTTGGTGAGTTGAGTAAAATCTCCCTATGGATTGTGGGAGGAAGCTTCCACAGGAATCATATGGACAGTTAGTCTCAGAACTTGACATCTTCAGGCTGTGTTAAATTTTTATACTAGAAAAAGTGGCTAAATGTCAGAATCTATGGTGTAAGTACTGTATGTATTAATAGTTTGTACCTTTTTATTGATAAATAATATTCCATTATATGACTATATGACTATACCATATTTGTTCTTTCATGTACTAATTGACAAATATTTGGATGGTTTCCAGTTTGGGGTATTATGAAAATTCTGTTTCTACATTTATGTACAAGTTTTTGTGTTAAAAATTTGTATTTATTTCCCTTTAGTCGGTACCTAGAAGTGGACTTGCTGGGCCATAAGGTAATTTAAGTTTAATTTTAAAAAAATAACTAAATTATTTTCCAAAGTAGTTATATTCATTTTACATTGCTGCTGGCTGAGATGTTCCAGTTTCTCTACATCCTTGTCCACATTTAGTATTGTCAGTTTTTTGATTATAGGTGTGTAGTGGTTATCTTAGAATTGTGAATACATTTGCATTTCTTTTTTTTTAAATCTCTTTGTTGTTGTTGTTGTTGTTGTTTTGAGACAGGGTCTTGTTATGTAGCCAAGGCTGGTCTCAAACTTGCCATCTTCCTGCCTCAACCTCCAGAGAGCTGGAGCCACCATGCCCGGCAACATTTGTTTTAAGCTGCTAATAGTATGGGTACTTTCTGCACAGTAATAGATGATTAATGCCAAATTGTTGCATTGTTTACAAATTATTTTCTCCCATTCTGTGGCTTGTTTTTCATATTCTTAGTTGTATCATTTAAAGAGCAAAAGTTTTACATTTCAATCAAATCCAATGTACTAGTCTGTTTAATGAATTGGACTTCTTGTGTTACAGAAATCAAGTTTTGCCTAGCATAAGGTTCCAAAGATATTCTCCTATACAGTATCTCTTAGAAGTTGTATAGTCATGGGGGTTTTTTGGTTGTTTTTTTTTTGCGGGGGGGATTGAATCTAGGACAACCCTATATCTGGACTATATCCCCAACCCTTTTGAGACAGTCTTTTATGTTGCTTTTATGTTGCCTGGGCTGGTCTTAAACTAGTGATCCTCTTGCCTCCAGCCTCCTGTCTGAGATTATAATACTAAAATTTAGTAATGCTAATACTAAAACAGACACTTAACTATGCTCTCCCTTGAAACCAATAATCCTGGTTTACCTCTTCCCTCTTGCTCTCTTCTGATTCTGTATCACCTCTGAGGTCGAAATTAACCTCAGCCCCTTTGAAATTCTCTGTGGTAGTTTTTCTCAAACCAATGTTTTGCTGGACCCAAAAACGTACTTTCTGGCAAAATATGTAATCTCTAGGCCAAACCGTTAAGACCATCTTTGAATATAACGACAAAATTAGCCCCAACCTGAATTCCTCCCTTACAGGGCCACCTCCTAAAGTCAACCCAGGGGCCTGGATTTATCTCAAAGTTCTCCCACAGGACAAAAAGCCTCTTCAGTCTGCCTGCCTGGACCTCATCAAGACCTCCTGATTTAACCTATGGCTGTCAAACGTCAAAGCTTCTCCTTGTGAATACATGTGTCTACACTCTCACCCATTCAATCCACTAGAACAGTTTTTTTTCTGTGCCTGCTAGAGATCTATGCTTTTTCTTCCAGCATGGGAATCAGGTGACACGAAGTTATCGTGCCATCCACTCCATAAAAAGCTCTGGGGCTGTAAACATGGTGACCTTTCCTGACTGTCCTGCATATCTCATGATGTGAACTTCAATAAATTTACTTCTGCACTTCCTCTACTCTTGGTAAATTTTTTTGTTTTTGGTACCAGGGATCAAACTCAGGACCTTGTGCTTGCTAGGCAGACAGCGGAACCACTGAGCTAAATCCCTGGCCCCTCTTGGTAAATTCTTTTACCACCCTAGCCACCAGCCCTACATATGCCATCAAGTACAGCAATATGTAGATGAATTTGAGAATTGATGTCTTAACAGTATTGTGTCTTATAAGCAAGAAAAATGGAATGTCACTCATTTATTTAGATTACCTTTAATTTCAGTTAGTGATGTTTTGTAATTTTCAGTGTACAAACTTGTCCATATCTTTTGCTAAATGTATTATTAATTTCTATTCTTTTTTTTCTCCATTTAGTTTTTTGGTACATTTTAGGTGTACAATACAGTTACAGTCATCATTGGGATCTTGTACCTTTACATGATGTATCTTGGTTTTTATTTTTTCCCGATTCCCCTGCCTTCCCTTTACCCCCTCCACCCTTCCCTATTTACAAAGACTTTGTTTCCATTTTTTCCTTATCTCATATTTTTCTTTTCCCTTCTTTCCTTTCCCCTACCCCTTCTACTTCCCCTACTCCTTTAGACCTTTTCTTAGTATTTCACATTATCAGTTATACATTTTGATCCTTATTTACACTTTTAGTTTTTCACACCAGAGAAACTATTTGGTATTTACACATGTGTGTCCTATTTATTTCACTTAAGAGTATGGCATCAATGTGCATCCATTTACCTATAAATGTCTCTAATTTCTCATTTTTTATGGCTGAGTAGTACTCCATTTTATAAAAAAAAAACAACCCTCATCTTCTTTATCCAGTCTCCAGTTGATGGGCAATTGGGCTGCTTCCAAGTTTTAGCTATTACAAATTGTGCTGCTATGGACATGGATGCACATAATTTATATCACTGTGGTATAATTCTTTTAATTCTTTGGGGAAGATACAAAGCAAGGGAATAGCTGGATCAAATGGGACTTCCAGTCCTAGTTCTTTGAGGTATCTTCATACTGATTTCCACAGTGGTTGTACCAGTCTGCACTCACACCAACAATGGAGAAGGGTTCCTTTCTCCCCACAACCCTGCCAGCATTTGTTATTGGTTGATTTCTTGATAGCAGCCATTCTTTCTGGGGTGAGGTGGAGTCTCAGTGTTATTTTCATCTGCATCTCTCAAATGACCGGTGATGTCGAACATTCTTTCATATGTTTATTTGCTGCTTTTACTTCTTTGTCTGAGAAATGTCTGTTCACTTCAGATTCTATTCTTTTTTTTGAAAGTTTAGCTTTTTATTTTTACTTCTACCAACAACAGGAAATTATAATTTCAGATAATAAAAAGGCTGTTATAGGGCATTATGATAATGTCTTCTTTTTTGATGTGATTTTAAAATAAATTTAATTTAATTTTGGATATTTCATTGCTAGACTATGGACAAAAACCTGATTTTTGTATATTGATTTTGTATCCTACTTACTAAACTATTTAATAAAGTTTAGATTCAATTAATTTTGAAGTTTTATCTGTATTTATGAGGAAGATTTATTTGTACAGTCAGTACAAACTATGAACCTATGATGAACTATGAACCTATGATGGTTCAAGTTAAGATTTTTCCACTGTACTATGATGCTAAAGTGATAACATTTAATAAAATCATACTTCCAGTTTAAAATTTTTACTTTTCCTATGCCGTGGGGTATGATACCCTCTTGGCATGCTGGGCAGTGGCAATAAGCTGCAGCTCCCACACAGCCCTGAGATCACTAGAGGAAACAACTCATATTCACTGTGTTGCTAAATTAGGATATTTGATAGGTTAGGTATATAGTGTTTTCTCACCACTAGGGACTGAACTCAAGGCTTTTGCACTGAGCTTTATGTCCATCCCTTTTAAAATTTTTTATTTTG